ACAATTGTATTCCAATACTGAAATTTTCCAACTATATTCAAGAGAAACCCACTTTAAATCACACGGTATGTGATCGGCATAGATCTTGTGGATGTTATGGCGAAGCACAACGCCGGCTGCGAGATGTTTCAATGACGGAGCTACAAGAGATTATCCTTTAAAAATTCTAAACCCATGCTACTTATCACAAAACTACAGGTGCTGCATTACTAAAGTATAAACTTCCAAAAATAGCTCAAAGCTATCTTTACCCACCATAATCAAGCACGTAGAGATCGGCAAGATCAGCGAGACCAGATGGTGTGCCTGAGGTATCCTTTACAGGCCTGTAAAACAACAGTAGTACCATATAAAAAACGTAGATATTTCATACTTTGCATAAATGCAGCAAAAACAGCAATTTTCAGAAGCTACACAAGTAAAGCTATTTAGGTAGCAGACAATCATCGATTTCTCGAGGCGGTACGCTTAACGGTGTCACCTGTATCACTTGCAGCCCCGTTGGTCATCGACTGACTCGAGCGGACGCCAGTAAATCTTCCATTTTTCCCTGTCGCGTGCAAGAGTGACCCAATGGTTTCTGCTCGCCCTAGAGACGCGTCGAGCATCACATCTTTCTTCAAGGCTCTTTGAGAAGAACCCTGACCATCGGGTCGGTGGTCTTCCTGCAGTACGTTTGACATCCCAAGGAATCCAGTCACTAACGGCTCTTGTCCATTGGTTGCCATTCATGGGAATTACGTGACCGGAACACCTTATAATCGACTGTTTGGCGTACAGAACAGCATCATTGATTTTTGATCGTTGCAGGCCGGTGTTTCCGACCCTACCCCTTACTTGCGCGACACGGGATACTCCTAGCATCGTCCTTTCAACTGCCCGTTCGATAACACTGAGTGACCTTTCACGTTGCTTACGCAGCGGCCAGGTTTTTGACGCACACTTCAGAGCATAAATTACCGCTGAGTCGTAAAGGTGGGCACGGAGTCGGGTGTTCCTTGTTGTCTTCACTACAACCTCAATGCTCTTGAAAGCTCCCCAAGCCGCTCGTTTCCTTCTGCTCAGGTCTGGAGCTAGTTCGTTCATCATATTAATTTCCCGACCTAGACAGATATGACTGGAGCATACGGAGATATTCGTTCCGTTGAGCGTGAATGGGCATGCGAAACCAATCCGTTCTTCACGAACAACGTTTTCGTGAGGTTTAGTCGGAGACCAATCTTTCCACAGGCTTTATCAAAGTCGTCAAGCATACGTTCCGCTTGGCTGTTTGGTGTTATAAGGGCGATGTCATCAGCAAAGCGAAGATAGCGTAACTGCCGACCGTCCATTTTCACTCCCATATTATCTCATTCCAATGTTCGCATGACGTTTGGGGGGTGGCGGCAAACAATTTTTGCAAGATTGTATCACCTTGCCTAACTTCACTTTGATATCAATGTTAATATCGTTTTAAAATAATGATATCTTGGTTGTGAAATTTTTGTACAGCTAGCGAAGAACCTTTATGTACTGAGTAGGGACTCCTTGACTATCAAGGGCATCCATGGTTGCTTCTATCTCGATTGAATCAAAGGCCTCCTGTAAATCGATGAAAGTGAGACAGAGCGGTCTTTTGTAGTCTCGCGATACTTCAATGAGCCTTGTGCTTTTCCCAGCCGTTGGTGGACGTTAGTTAGCGGTTGTCTGCAGGTCGTGCGATTTCACGCTGGCGTATCAGCTCGAGTGTTTCTGGAGATAGACATCTCTTGGCGACTTTCGAATTCTGAGTTTTCATAGCGCTAACGTGAAAATGTTGAATGATTGTATTGTTCGTCGATGTTTTCAACAACGGCATCTTCCCAACAGCCGACTAATGAATTGAATAAATCCCAGTTTACGGTGGTTCCGGGACTTCGGTTTTGGAATTTAGCGGCTTTTTATCCTTTCCACGAGAAATAGAATTTTGCACGAAAGAGACGATGGTTTGATCCCGTGTAGAATATTTGGACAATAGCGATATCGGTTAGACAAAACCTTCCATTTACTATGATGTGGTCTATTTCGTTATGATACACTCCATTGGAAGAATCCCACGTCCAGCGCTGAGGGTGGGGCTTCTGGAATTGCGAGTTACCATATCTTGGTCGCCATGGTAAATTCAGATAGCCACTCACCCTGTGCATTCCATTCTAATCCGTGGGTCCCAATGTGACATTCTTCAGACGTTCTTCTTGGTCCAATATTTGCGTTGAAATCTCCAATAATGACCTTGAAGAATGTGTGGTCTTCCATGTAGAACTTCTCCAAGTACATATAGAACACCTCGACCTCGTCATCGTAATGGGCTGGTATTGGCGTGTAGAAAAGCATTGTCAAAGGCGGAATTGATATACGACTTTTTAATCGTAAACGTCCGATTCGGGTTGTAAGTTGTTCGAACGAATCAATGTTCATGGACAAACTCGTGATGACGAGAACGCCGACGCGGCCGACCCCTCAACTGTCGCATGTTCCGAGGAACAATTCTTTTCCGGTGTCATAGACGGCGTTGAGAGACTGGCGTCTTCTCGTCTCGGCCAGGCCGGTGACGTCGTACTTTATCCTTCTTGCTTGCATGAACGAGTCTTCTATCGAGGACTCGGATGCAAGTGCACGTGCATAACAGGTACAGATCGTTACCATAGTTTTTTGAAATCCAGGTAGCTTCCATTGGCCCTGAGATTTTAGCAGCCTCTACGTGCTCGTCCTATTCAACGCTGCGAAGTTGGAGGCTCTGTCGTGGTCAGGGATTGAGGCCCGTTTCTTTTACTGTGTTTAGCATTTTGATACCCACGTATAGCTTGCTCGGCTCTGAACGTAAGAGGTGGGTACACTCACGGGTAGCTTGCCAGGCTCTCCTTGAGTGGACATGGAGCTTATTTATTGGAGGCGACTACTAACCGCCTCCCATACACTTCCCAGTCACTTGATTGCAGGTTTTTGGCCGAGTTGACTCGTAGAACACAATCCGCATAAGCAGGAACACACCCACACACGGATACATGATTACGCCTAGCAAATACAGTAAGCATGTGCCAACTCAGCGCAATAGAGACAGAGTGTCCATCCCCTGAATCCACTTGCGTTTCAGAGAAGCAATGGTCGCTTTTGGTCCGCGATTAGCCCCCTGTCCGCCACCTGGGGACGCGCCACGTAGTCTCGTGACTAGCAGGCTCGAGATCCCATATATGAGGGAGATCCGTGGCCCTTATCGGTAAGAAAAAAAAGTTAAAAATCTAGATAACAAAGAATTTTGTCCACATCCGTAATGCATGAGATCTTCCGATTTCATGCGCTGAGGAGAATGCTGTTTGAGAAATTTTTCTGGTTTATTCATTGCCGATGAATACTGACCGCGTCGATTCTTCCTGAAAAGCTGGGATATGTGTGATAGTGCGTTCCCAGGCTCTTTATCACAGACGGTCATCTTCTGTACATCGAAGAGAGCTCTTTCCAAACAATTTTGATTATTGATAACATTCTCCACAAATACAGGATGTTCTCTACGTCTTTGCATACTTTCGTCGTACTTTTTGTAAAGTGTTTCATAGAAGTTATCACATGTGTCCAGAAAGGTTATTGCAATGTCTCTGTATTATGCAAACTTGAAAAAACAACGATTGAGAGATGCTCAGTAGCCCCACTTCATGTTAATATTGACAGATGAGCAAAAAGAATTCCTGGTATGGATTGACACCAATCCGTCTAACACCCTCCTTCATTTCGAGATCTAAGGCTCGCTATCAACCAATTCGTCTAATTTCTTCTCCACTTCCACTTCTATCCTCCCTTTCCTACTTAAACAGAATTTCATGTGAAACTTTCTTTTCATATTACTTCACCAATCTGTAACAGAAGCTACTCTCGCTACCAATCATTTGGTCTTACTTCATCCTATGCTGTAATTTCCTCCTTACTCTTCTTGGTCGAGTTGTTTTCTATGTGGCGCTTGTTCCTCATATTGCTTCACCAGCCTACTAGAGAAGCCATTCCCTTATTTTCAACGTAATTTCTTGCTCAATCGTTTATTTCTGCTTGTTAATTCTGTTATCGTCTTGGTGTTTATGCGCTTTACATTTCTTGATATTGCCATGTCACTACTGTTATATTAATACAATATTGTTATAGGTAAAGATTTAATCAACCAAGCTTAAGATTTGCTCTGCTGCGAGAACAGAAAGTCCCACGTAGAAAATTCGTACGAAGTTGTGCATTCTACCTCGAACTGGTGATTAATTGATTATGACAGGTGGTTCAAAGTATTGTACTCCACTGAGTTAACAACTAAATTGCCACCAGCTTCCCTACTTCAAAGGGATGAAAGGCTAATTGGCACTAGTCGGGGTCAAACCAGTTGTTGCCTGTATTCAACGGCGGTTACGTTACCCTCGGTCCAAAATATTTGAACAACATAGGTAAACTTCAGCTGTTGCTCTACACAGAATGACCAAATCCAATGCCAAGCAAACATGAGCGGGATGCAGGATCTTCTTCGCTATTAACGAGTATTTAAACAAATATTTTATTGTGTGCTCCATCAAAAACCACGTTGACTACGGCGGTCTATCGTTTACAAGAAGTGGTAAGATTTCGTGAAATCAAAATATCAGAAACACCAGAAAACTATCTCCGACACGATTACGGTTGACCGTGGACTGCAAAGATGATTTACATGTTGATAATATCTAGTGAAGAGTCCGTCCAACCCGAACCCGAACGTCCCACCAAAAAACGAACTTCCTCCTAAGCATAGCTCCTTTCAACTTTTGACCTTTCTCAGGCTCTCAAGAACCAGCAACACGAGAAAATCTCGCAAGGTCACTCCGCAAACAATGCTTCGTAATAAGAAAATAAAAAGAGCTTCACTGCATCGAAAACTTCTGATAGATGGCGACTGTGTTTCTGCCGTATATAAAGTCTTCATTCCTGCATAACGCATTAAAAAAATTGTTTCTTGCGTCACAGATTCTTCCTAATAATTAACAGGATTTCAGTGATTGCCACCACATAAATCCAATCTTCCTTGGAACAAACCATATGGCAACAAAAATATTTTTACAAAAGGATGTAAGACTAACAAAAGGTGAAAATAATAATTGCAATAAAACATCTACCCACATTGTTCCACCAAATAGGAAAACCCTGCTATCAACGACCACAGTGCATTGACGGCGACGAGCAGATGGCATTTGTCCAGATGTCTAAAAAAGTTTCTTAGTAAAACACGTGGAATAAATTTCATACCTGTTCTAAATTTCAGATGAAATCTTTTAAAATGGATACTGCTTCGAAGAAAGACCTGCCTTCCTTTACCTTAATCTTTTCCCAGTGATTAGTGGATGGATCGAATGAGAATAAATCATCATAATGCATGTTTTGTGTTCCAAGATAACCACCGAAAATATACATCTTTCCTCCGTATGTCCCTAAAATTGTGACTTTTCCTCCCGACTCCTCAATTCTATGCCTGATCAAACAATTTAAAAAAATTTAACTTCTATAGTGCTGAGATATTTGCAAAACTTCGGACCGCAGGTGTATGCGGTGGGGAACGAACGCGCTATTGTCCTTTCCGGGGAGTAACGCGCTCACCACCAAACCACACAGATCCTTCGTTTCGCCTGTCTCTCCGCTAATTCTATGGATCCTTTTGCCATCAGCAATCACCCGTCAACGGGATTGATCTGGGAAGCCCAAATCGGCGAAACGAAGGACCCACATGGTGTGGTGGTGAACGCGTTATTCCCCGGAAAGGACAATAGTGCGTTCGTTCCCTACCGCAGACACCTGCGGTCCGGAGTTTTGCAAATATCTCAGCATTATAGAAGTTATATTTCGCAAAATACCCTGCCGTTAAAAAGAATAGGCAGTAAATAAAAAGGTTAAGATTAAAAAATTTAATTGAAAAAAATCACACCGTTACTTAGTGTTCTACGTCGAAACGCTTGCGTCATCCAGCAGCGAAAATGCAATTTATATGAAGTAAACCACCCAAGCAAAAATAACGAAACGCAAAATAATAACGCCACTTTCACATAAAACAATGTGAAAAGGAAATGAGAAGATGAAAAGGAAAAGAAAGCCACTCACACGCAGAGTGGCTTCTTCTGCCTGTTGGGCCTATCCCGCTACATATCGGATCCGACCATTCCCCCGTTCGCAAGTCTAGTGCCTTCAACCGCTCGTCGTACATATCACGAGTTGAATGAAACTGAAAGAGAAACAGTTAAATGAGACACTTCCAGAATGAAATAAAACAGTAACCATTATGGGAAATGCAAAGAAAAGGCCATTCCCCTCCATTAATTGTTTACCGCTTCATTCTGGACGGCGTTCATACGACACATGAAATGTATTCAGCTTCCAGCAGTGTCCTCCATGCTCAGAGGAAGCTCAAAATTTTCATCTGGAAGCTCAGCTACGTGTAAACCAAAGCGTGGAATCACTATTTTGTTAACAACATAGTGACTAGTCGGGCAAATAGTGATGAGCCATGGTATTGCTCTCCAAACTCCATAAGGAGGAAATTTTACTCAACTAACAGGTTACCCTTCAAACAGAATTTGTGCAGCTATTCGCACAGTTCCTCGTAAATTGTAGGAGGAGCTACTCAAGCAAATACTCAAGCGAAGATTACAAACAAAACACTTCGTAATTAACAGCAAAATACCAATAATAAAACTACCAGAGTTGTCAGCCATTTGTTAGAAGGCTTCTTCAGAATAATCCATAATTCAGGATAAACTATGCTACAGTCGTCTACCCAAGCAAAAATTCCATCGCAATGTATTTGACATATTAATATTACATTCACTTGCGAAATACTGAAAACTAATTTGTTCATCGACGACAAGCGATTATCCACCAAGATAGCTTTAGCATCAGCTAGTGTGTAACTAATGCTATAATATTTTGTGGATATAACACCGTGGTACCACAAAGATTCTTGCTGAATGTCTAGGTTGTCACCAACGCCTATATGGGTAGCTACAACTTTAAAAGCAATAAGAACATATATTCAAAAGTCGGAGATAGAAAGTGCCGACAGCAGTTGCAAGCGAGCATACTGCAAAACACCAGGGATTTACACTAGTTTTAGATACAACTCAACCCACCAGTTCATTACTACATCTCTACCAAATCAAATGCCTCAGAAAAGTTGATAACGACGTGAACAACTACCAACTAGCAATGGCAAGATTCCACAAAGGTTGTAGCTAATTACCTGCCCAGTATGATCGCTTCTTCCACCGAAAATGTACATTTTGCTGTCTATTGCAACAGCAGTGTGGAAATCGCGCCATAAAGGTGGTTGACCCTGGAAAAACAGTACGAAACAATGTGTCATCATTACTCATATCACAGAAATAGGAAACAAAGTACACGCACCGAAAAATTTAATATGCACTGCACAAGCTCTAGCCGCAGTCCAAAAAAATTTCAAGCCTTACATAAAAAGTTCACAGAAAGCAAAAGTAGCTGAACGCTAAACGCGAATCAAGATTACTATTCCAAGACGTCCTAACGTAAAAACACCTATGTCTTACTTACTTGCATACTTGGATGGCCGTACTCACTAGTTGTGCGGGCCCCAGGAAATTTTCACTTTTCGAAAATTTGCTAGTTAAGCCACTGTGGTTCTCGGGGTCAGCCTGGCCAAGGTCTGCCCCAGGTTTTCACCACCATAAGCAGTCGTAGTCCTTAAGGAACCAGGGTGAAATTTGCCACCATGCGACTAGTTTGGTACCAGGACGGTGGTGGATCCTGGTATTGATTTACTCTTAGCTAGACTTCCTGATGGAAACGCCGGACTCCTTCTCAGCTTGGGAGACCCTGTCAGAGGATGAATCCTCCTGCTGTACATCGTAGTCCGACACCCAGGAACACCTAGCCACGGCGAGGAGGTAAACTGCTGGGACGAAACAACGAAATCCAAAAGTGAAATGCAGTTTTTTTGTTATTCACTTGCTCTGTGGGCTTCCAGCTGATCTTCTCTACAGCTACCGCCTTCTGCCTCTGTACATGTAACTGAGAATGAAAATATCGTCCCAAAATTGAACCAGGTTGACAGAAAGCATTCAAATTACACTAATGCGCAAGCCTAACCGTGAGCCTAACCGTTTGAAAATATGTTGCTTGAAGTGTTTAAATTCTTTTTTGAAGTTTTTATCGATAGGAGTCAATTTTTACCCACCGATGTGTTTAACTCGCTCCATCGATTTGTGAGGAAATCAAACACATATGTTTCCTGACTGAATCGTTGCAAATCTTCTTCAAAACCACCGAATAAGTACATGCGATCACCAACGACAACTGCAGAGTGGCCGTCCCTTGATGGTGGTACTCGGCCTTCCACAGGTACAATACGCCAACGAAGTAACACTAAATGGAGTCACTCTCTTTTTACATTCGGCTTATTTACTGATGAAAATTATCAAGCGCAAATAAGTACTTCTAAACTTTCAAAGCACATATACATACTTCAGCCATTCAGAAATCTGAAGCGACTTGACTGACTAGGGAAAATACATTTTGCCTACCAGGATCGAACTCATGAAGTATTGAACTGGCGCCATAGTCATCGTTTCGGCCACCCCACAAGTAGGCTCGACCTCGGTACGCACACACGGTATGTCCATAACGCTGGTAAGGCAATCTTCTTAATGATTCCATGTTATCGTCCTCCATCTAAAAGAACAACACTAAAAAAGGTAACCAACTTTTACTCTGATATTTTCGCTACCACGACTAATTTTGTGTGCGAGTAAATTGGACAACGCTTAATTTCTCGCTAATATAGACGTGTTAACTTTTCGACAAGTTTTTTTTCCTGATTGGAAAACTTGTGGGGATAGAAATATGATGAAGTTACAGAAGAGATCTTGCTTTGTCGCATTAGTGGTACTCATGGTAGGTAAATTAGCATAAGGTCCACCATGCAACCACATTGAAGTGATCACTTGCAGTCTTTCGTTTTTTCTCCGCACCTTCTATATTCCCTCAATCCTACGACAATTATGACTCATTATAGCGGAAGAAAATGAACTTCATCCAACTAGCAGTTAAATCACCCATCAATGAACTCGTCTGCTCGTTAACAGAAAGGTTTTTTGTAAATTAATCAGTTTAAAAGTTCCCTTTTATGGCACAGGTGTGATCTAACATCAAAGTTGGAGAAGGAATACAAGAAGTGTGGAAAAAGCACTGTTCTTCTAAACAAACAACCAGAAACCATAAAACAAACAAAGGATAAAGCCTTCTGTGTTGATTAATCTCTGAGGGAAGCGCCATGTATTCCTCTTCGTTAAGCATCGTTGGAAGTGAGTGAATACATATCTGGCCTTTACAATGACTCGCGGTGGCCTACCGATGTATCGAGCCAGTGCGGCTATCAACCCAGATAACTCTGGTGCCAATTTGCGACCCCAGAGCGATGGAAGGCCTGGTGGGCCTGGGGCGCGGGATCGATCCTATGTATGTTGCATGGCATCTCCGACCACTGCGCGTTCCAACTTAGCAGCCAGATCATAAACGTCCCCTGCCCCGATTCAAGAATGTCAACGAGTTCTGGTGGTTACGTCTTGAAAGTATCCTAGTACGGCTATCTCGGGATTCCGGAGAGTGAATATATTGCTCGACGAAAAGCTACCACACAAATAAGGATTGCAACAGAGGAATTCAAGATTTTTGCGAAGACGGACTCCAATAAAGGATTTTGATATTTTATTGTCTTCAAAATAGAAGCTTTACAGGTTTTCTCCAGTTTAAAAAATAAAGATTACGCTGGGACAACAGATTTTCATTTATTATCACCAAATATGACAACCAAAAAATTTTTAAGATGAATTGCCACTAACTCTATCGTCTTCATGTACATCGGTGTGAGCCTTAACAAAAACCCATCGATATGTATCTAAACAAAAATTTATTAATGAACATGAACACGAATTAATTTCACTAAAACGAAAAGCATGAGTACTACTCCTAAAAACACCTTAATACCAGCAAAGTAAAAAACTTCACTCGAATAAATATGACAGAAACTCACTAGTATCTAACATGTGGATATCAATAGATTGGTCAGGATCGACGGTCTCTCCGCTGCAATAACCACCGAACGAGAAAATCTAAAATATTCATGAATTTTGAATTTGACGTCAGTCTGCAATGCCATACTTCAAAATCCTGAAAAACTGCTCCAACTAGATAAAACGGTAAAGGAAAACGTTTTCACGTTGTAGTGGACGTTAGATACTAGCACGGTGATGAAAGCTGGTATTAATTTACTCTTAGGTGGGCTTCCTGATGGACATACCAGACTCTTTCTCAGTTTGGGAACCCTGGAATGCCTCCCAGCAACAATGACGCGGTAAGCCGTCGGCAGCGTAAAAGTATTAGCAATATTGACTTCTCAAATGCTATTCTATTATGTATCAATGGAAAGCTTATTTTATGCAATTCGCCCGGTATGGAGTATAAAAAGATAAAGCTCTCCGCCTCGATCAATCTCTGAGGGATGCGCCATGCCTTCTACTTCATTAAGCATAGTTTATAGGGTGATTGAATGCATATCAGGTCTTTACAATAACTCACGATGCCTGCCGATGTATCAAGTCAGTGCTACTATCCTTCTAGACAAGTCTGATATCAACTTGCTGACCCCGAGGGATGGAAGGCTTGCTACGCCATGGACACGATGATCGATTCCACGTGTGTGTTGAAGGAAGCCTCCGACCACTGCGCCACACGCGCCGTTCGCTCGATATAGCTCCAGAAATAGTTCATACCTTTGACGAATTTCACAGATTAGGAAAAAAGGTGTCAAAACGGGAAACTCGAAGCAAGTAATTTTATAGATTCAAACTCGCTCGCAGTGCAGCGTGAATAGCTCAAAATAATGAGGTGTAACCCCGTAACCCCAAGCAAGTGTTAAGAAATGCATAGTGCGACGTTGGTCTCAAAAAATTCGACATGGTAAACTCGATACTCCTAACGCGTATGAAAGCGTTGATGAGAGCAAATCTTTGCACAACTGTTCGAGTAGCTGCACAAAAAACCTTGTGCAGGCATCTTAACTGTTTCAGAAGATCTAAATTAGAAAGTAGAAGCAGCTGGACAAATAAATGCCGTAGGCCACTTTTGAGGTATACTCAGCTCTCAATCTCTGCGACAAGAAAAACCCTGCTGTCGTCGCGCATTGTGATGAGGGACGAGAATTGGATCCTCTGTGACAACCAACAATATGCTCGGCGGCTGAACTACGATGAAACACCCCAACACTTCCTAAAGCAGAAATTTCACAAAAGGAAAGTGACGCTACTCGTTTAGTGGTTTGCCGCTAGCTTGATCACAGATATCTGAATCTAGATGAAACGATAACGGTGAAGAACTACGTGCGCAAATCGACAAAACGCTTCAGAAACTTCAAACTTTGCGCACGGAACTAGTCGGGAGGGACCAATCACTCTCCGCGATAACGCCTTGCCACAAGTGGCAAAACAAACGCTGCAAAAGCTAGACCAAGAGAAGAGATCTGCCACTTTGAAGACACACTAAAATCGCTCGGTAATTTCTCAGTAGCCCAATCATTTTTCGACATTAGTTGAAATACTTATCGTAGATATTTTTTTCCATTTTGGTCATGGAAGGTGCTATCCTTTCCTTGCAGTCAGCTTGGCTTTTGCAGTCTCTGAAGAAAGAGAATCCCGCAAAACGCTTGCTTTTCTTGTGGATAGAGTAAAGTAATAAACTTGTGTCTCCCCATCAAGGAGACAAGTGAATTCTTTAATATCGAGTGGACCTACACTAAAAAGTGCAGACATAAGTCGATAAAGAAATGGACATAGACTACTCTGTTTTGTCTAGAGACGGCGACTTATAATTATTGCCAATTTGCCCCAATGGCAAAGTTTATCCTACCTTTCATCTCAAAAGATGTAAGTGCAGCTATAAAACGCTGTTTGAGAAGGGCGGATCTAGAGAATTCGGTAAACGTAGTTGAAATGCCACCGAGTAATCTTAGGCGCAAGGTAGTTCGTAACCGCCTACATGACCGTCTATGTGCAAAGCAAAATTGCAATAATTTGCCCCAATAGTAGAGACGGCGATTGCATGAGCTCGGGCATAGTTTATCTGATCACCTGTAAGGCGTGCTGAAACGAATACACCGGCGAAACGAGCAGAGCCCTCTCTGTCCGCATAAAAGAACACCTAGCCGACAAACGTAAACTAAATAAAACCAAATACCCCACAAGGCACGCATAGGACCCAGAGAAATAACGGGAGGACTTTGAAGTACGTGTCACGATCCTCGCACAAGAATCGAGAACACAAGCGCGCAAAACTCTCGAGACGTTTTGGACTAATTCCAGAGAACCGAAAATGAACCGCGGGGAAGAATGCCTCATTATGACGCGTGATATTGGGCAGTATATAAGACTGTTATTCTGATGATAAGAGCACATTACGCTTCCATGTGTATTCTGTGGGGCTGGTCTCCACGTGACATATTTAGTGGAAGACTCATAGAAAGCGGTGAGTGTGCAAAGCTGTGATCAATGTGATTGAAATTTTGATTTAGTGTTTTTCTGTTTGGTTATGGAGGTGTTTGGCCGAATAGATTGCTGTCAACATGACCTTTATAGGTTCTGATCCGCCGAAACGTCAGCTTATTCGTGAATAACGAGTAAAAATAACACCTCGCGTTTGCTAAACAAGAATACGAAGAACTACTTATAATTATTTTAACAGTTTTGCACCTCATAATTAAGCACGATACGAAGTTATGTCTACAGGCCACAGGTTCGTCAAGCTTTCGATTCCACTCGCCAAATTGGCATCAAACCTATCTGGGAGGATAGCAGCATTGAATCGATACATCGGTAGCCCACCACGAGTGAACGCATAGGACAGATGTGCATTCAGCCACCTCAAACGATGCTTAGTGAAGTCGAATGCACGGCGCACTGCTTAGGAATTGATCAACTCTGAGAACATTTTTATCGAGTTCCGCAGCAATGTTACCACTTATTTACAGTGAACAAAAAAATACGGAACAGTCCTTAACTATGGCTGCAAGATTTACGTGATAAAACTTCTCAAATTGGAAAAGTGGAAAACGAGTTGTTTATGTGTTATTTAAGACGTTTAAAGACGACACATTATTCTAGATCTGCATCCCGGAATGTACTCTATATTCACAGTACGGTAACACGTATAGACCTCTTAAAATACTTCTAATAAAACTAGACAATTCTATTCTCGCCGCGCAAATAAACCTCTTTCCTCAGTATTAGGCGAGCATAAAACTACTTTTTCTCTATAATATGGATCTCCCATTCTAGAATACGACAATTACTTTATGTCAGTTTCACGTAATACACATAGTACTTCCGCTAAAAAACTGACTACAAAAATTATATCGCAAATCACTTGAAAAATTAATATTAGCATGTACACACTGCGTATATGAGTTTGCATATATGCATATGCAGATGTATGTAAATATGCACACCTAAGTATACACGTATGTATATAATATAATCTACATATATGTATGTTATACGCACGTAATACACGTAATATGTTTGGTGTTATAAGAGGGATATCATCAGCAATATAACCTATACCATCCACCGTTCCGTTGATCACCGAGTAGTTCGAGCAGGCACCAGTAAATCTTCCATTTCTCCTGGTCGTGTGCTACAGCAACCTAGTGAGCTCTGCTCGCTATAGAGACTGAGTGACTGTTGATCCTGCTTACATACCGACCAGCTCTCTGACGCATACCTTAAAACAGAAACCGTGGATTCGAAAAGATGGGCAGGTGGTCGAGGGTTCTTTGTTCTCCTGACTACATCCTCGATGCTCTTGAATACTCCTCAAACCCAATCTCAATTCTGGGGCAAAGTCGTTAACTATGTTGATTTGCCGACCTACATAGACGTAAGTAGACATTTGCAGATATTCACTGAGCACGGATTAGGCGTGCGAAACCACTTTTTTCTTCATGAACACAGTTTTCGTGAGATATAACCGGAGCTCAATTTTTCCGCAAAAGTTATATGGATCGACAAGCACTCGTTCCGCTAAGCTAATGCTTGGTGTTATAAGAAGGATGTCATCAGCAAAGCCAAAACGGTGTAATTGTCGACCATCAACTTTCACTCCCATGCTATCCCATTCCAATGTTCGCGTGACGTTCTAGAGAGTGGCGGCAAATAATTTTGGCGGGATGGCATCGCCTTGCCTAACTCCTCTTTTGACGTCAATGTTAATATCATTGTAGAATGGTGGTATTTTCGCTTTTTATATAGCCCACAATCATTGCATACTGAGTAGGAACCTCCTAACCCTCAAGAGTTTCCACAACTGCTTCTATCTCAATTGGACAAAAGGCCTTCTGTAAATCGATGAAAGTGAGACAGAGCGGTCATTTGTACTTTCGCGATACTTCAGTGAGCTGCGTCATCATGTGGATATGATCCAAAACCTGAGTTCTTTTCGAAACCCTGCTTCCTCACATGGTTGTCCTTCGTCCAGTGTTCTGTCAACCTTGAATAGGACGATCAAGTGAAAAGTTTGTAGACGATAATCAGTAAGCTGAATGGGTGATAGTTGCCAATATCGTGGAAGTCACCCTTCTCCAACAATTGGACGCTCTTCCTGATCTTCCACTGAGTAGAGACCTTGCATTCAGACGGGTAACGTGTTAACAACCGAGCCAGTGCGTTTATGATAACTGGCAGAAGTTTCTTCAGATGTTCAGATCTTAACCTGTCCGGACCTGGTGCTGTTCGATTTTTCACCGTCGAAATAGCATGTCTGATTTTGGACGAAGAAGCGGTAGTATAACATATCCATCCTCCTTCACTTCACATGACGAAAGGTGGACGCGGCTATCGAAGAGATTTGAGTAGTATTCGTGATTTTTTTCTATAGCTTTCTGAAAGGTGTAACCACTCTGTCAGAGCGTCAGAGGGTAATCTTCTTGGTTTTGTAATTGCCGAAGTTTCGGTGGGCTTTGTGAACGCTTTCCCAGCTTTCGTAACTTCGACCATAATTACTACTCTTCTCTGTCTATGATCTTCTTTTATCACCTATCTGAACTGTGTTGAAAGTTTGGACGTGAATTTCCAGCTCAACAATCCCTAGAGAAAGACGTTTCTTTCATTTGATGACTTTCGAACTATTTGTTTTCACAACGCTAACGTGTTGATATTGAAAGAGTAGATCGTATTCCTCGTCGATGTTATCAAGAACGGCATCCTCCCAACAGCTCGCTAATGACCCGAAGAAATCCCTATTTATGGTGGCTTCAGGATTTCGTTTTTTGAATTTAGCGGCCTTTGCTTTTCTCTTCCACGAAGGAGACTATGGTTTGATCCCGTCTAGAATTTCGGAAAAACAGCGGCATCGGTTAGACTAAACCTTCGATTTACTATGAGGTGGTTTATTTCGTTATGGTACTCTCCATTCAGAGCCTCTGTACTGCCATGTCCGGCGTTCTCAATGGAGCTTCTTGAATCTTGAATGATTGGTCTTGGTCGCCATGACAAACTCAGGCATACGCTTACCCTGCTCGTTCCATTGTGATCGCTGGGTCCCAATGTGATGTTGCTTATACGTTCTTCTACGATGACGTTGAAGAATATATGGTCTACTCTGTAGAACTTCTCCAAGTACACATAGAACACTTCGACCTCGTCATCGTAATGGGTTGGCATTGGTGCGCAGACGACGATTGTCAAAACCGGTATTGATCCACATCTTTTTAATCGTAAACGTCCGATTCGAGTTGTAAGTTGTTCGAATGAATCGATATTCATGGACAAACTCGTGCTGAAGAGAACGCCGACGCAGCCGACTCCTCTACTGCCGCATGTTCCGAGGAACAGTTCTTCTCCGGTGTCATAGACGGCGTTGAATGGGTGGCGTCGTATCTTCTCGGCCAGGCCGATGACGTCGTGCATTATTTCTCTCGCTTGCGTGATCAAGTCCTCTACCGAAGACTGGGATTCAAGGCTACGTGCATTGCATGTACAGATCGTCACCTTAGTCCTTTGCGATCTAGGCAGAGATGGCTCTCAGATTTGTACTCTTCGCGCTCGTCCGCGTCTCGCTCAACGTTGTCATATCGCAGGTATTTCGGAGTCAGAGGAATGAAGCCCGTTTATTTTATCGTTTTTATCTTTTTCATACCCACCTACAGCCTACTGAGCTCTGAATGTCAGCCTCTCCCAGGGTAGACGGGCAGCTTATTTGTTGGGCTCGACTCCTGACCTCTCCCATATACTTCTATTTCACTTGATTGTAACCTTTTGGTCGAACTGACTCAAAGAATGTAAACCGCACAAACGAGAAGACACCCACGCACCCATGAATACTTCCTTTTAAATGCAGAAGGTAATAATGTGCTAAATCGGTGCAGCATAACCAAGGAGTCCATCTCCTGGATCCACTTGCGTCTCAGGGAACCAAAGGTCGCTTTGGTCATTATCCGCCTTCAGGGATCACGTCGTGCAGCCTCGCTACAAAGCGGCATGAGATCCCTCTATGAGGAAGATTGTATGCATTATATATATACATATATATATATATATATGTATACACGTATATATACATAACATATACACGTACATATCACAAAAATATATGTTAGCTCTTCACAAACCTTCAAAGAAAAGAACGATTTTCAAAAATACTGAACACTTGGGGGTGCACTTAAACAGGTTTGTGGAACGTCTGATTAAGCAAACACGTATGTTTGAGGTTAAGTTGTGCTCAAATTCGATGTTAATGTCGTTACAGCTTATGATCCTTTTGGAAAACAAAGATTTGTAGGCAAACAAAGAGCACGGAATTTTAGATGGTATATATTAACTTGGCTTGCTATCAAATAATGGTATATCTAACAAGTGTTCCGTTGACAAGTTATTCTTGTGGAAGATTTTCGTGTACAGACGGTGGACCACTTCCGCCAAGCGTCGTGTAATGGTATAAAAATGTGAAGTGAATTATTATATAACCAAATATATTCTATCCCTATTTTTTCATAAGCACTTTAATCTATGGGAAAGATTTTAAGTTGTCAATAAATAACTTGTTGTGTGTTCAAGGTGTTCAAGCGCATAAATTCGTAACAATACCTAAATTTGACACCTATTCTCGACTCTTAAGCATAGTAAAGAAGTACACGTCGTTGTTCCTACTAAAACATTCGATAACCACCGTAATAATGGAATAATGTACTGAAACCCTACATAATGTCAAATACCACTGCGTGATCCGGAGTACGGTGGTGTGCAAAGTAGCACGCATCTTTATTAAAAGGATATGTTAACTAAACAATGTGGTCCTTAAATGACCTCAACTTGAGTCAAATATCATTGTTTGAACACCAACGATAGTTTAACTGATCACCGATGTCTGTGCATGATGGTTGGTTGAAATCGGCAAACTTCTGCTTTTATTTCCACTTTTTTACGTATTTCTGCATAAATTAAAACTAAGAAAACCAAGACCACTTCGAAAAAAAAGGAAGAAAAAATTACCCTATCACCAATTGCTACAGCAGCGTGGTTGACGCGACGAGGTCCGCCCTCAAGCGCCACGGTCCACTGCATTGCAACGCGAATATTGCAAAAATCTGAGAAACACTGAAGATTATTAATAACCGAAAGTGTAAAATCGATACGTATCAAATACATACATGAACGTATGGCGGATGAAAATAACAGTCAGTGCAACAACAAAATTTCGTTTAGTGGATGTTCTCAGAAACCGAAAACGTAGTAGTTCGACCAATACAAACGACGGAGATGAATTGGAGAACAAATGAAAAGCCAGTAACTATAGAAGCTTTCAAAGTGCATAAATAAAAAGCGGAGGATTGTTAGAACAAGCGAATATGAATTGTAGCAAGGTGTGGCTTCTTGTAGTACCAAAAACATGGGATTTCTCCAAGGAAGGAAATATAAATCACATTCGCTAGCCTACACTTAGAATGAACAATTCTAAAAGACAAATATCACGTCATTTTGATTTTCCTCTTCGCAGAAGAAAAAAGAAAAAGAAAAAATAGAAGGAACATAGGACCAAGTTCGGTAAAAGTTGGTGATACAAACTCACCGACCACTATAATGACTTCAATACAGTTAGATCTAACACATACGACTAAAATCCGTTAAAATTGTAACCAAAACGTCAGATTTACAAGAACAAACCGAAGTGTTGTAAAGTAGGAACAAATTAATATTTAGTAATTGGAACAATGATTACTGAAAAGAAACATACCAGCTTAAAACGTTTTATTTATTGCCTACTATTTTTCATAGTAGGGTATTATTTTAAAACCCACAATAATGCTGAGATATTTGCAAAACTCTGATCACAGGCCAGATTTGAACTCGAGATTATCCTTTCCGGAGGCTCAAGGGTAACCCACTGAGACTTTGGCTTTCCTTTCCTTTTTCTCCCCTTATTGTTATAATAAATAATACGTAGCTCAGATTAGTCAGTCTCTCGTTGACCAATTTAAGCCATAAAGAACAGGTCTAAAACGAAATCAACTAAGAAATACTCCAGCCCTCGAAGGAACAAGACGACAAACAACTGGACGGACATATTGAAACTATGAAAAACACTTGCGACCAAAAGTAGTACACAGCTAAAGTAGTTCAGAGAGTCCATGTACGCTACCCTAGCACTAATTGGTAATAACACATTGCATAGAAAGTTTCCAGTATTCCGACATATATCAAGATATCAAGGTCTATTCGTCGGTGAACGACGGCAAATTAGAAATTTTCACAACTTCACTAGCGAAACGAGATCGGAATCTGATCCGCGACTTCGAAGGTTAAACGAAAGCAAGTCAGTGCCATTCGCCGATCAAGGTCAGCCGTGACACCCATCCGGCCGAGCATCGAGCGTTCATTTCGTCTTTTGCATTTACGCAAAACTTTCCTTAATTGTCGTTCTCTTTCTTACAGCAATCGCGTTATTCAGCACGTTTACTTGCTTACAAATATAACGCATACAACAACGTTGACGCAATTGCTGTAAAAAAGAGAACGATAGATTTATAATCCAGTGCCGACGTTAACAGAAAGTCGATCTTGAGAACTTTCCTTAGCATATTCATTCACTAAGCACGCTTGTTCAGGAAATTCAAGATGGTTGTATAAAGGAATAAATATGTGGGAAAAAGGAAAGGAGCAAAAAGTAAGAATTTGATAGAAGTTACTTTGTAAATAAAGCTTGAAATTAGCAGAAAACTCTCACAAATATTTCCTAAAAACCTAACAAAGAAAAACTCTAAACATAAGCTTGGAAAAAGTTGTGAATCAAACAAGATACATCCTTTATACCTAGTGGATCCAAATAGGCATATATCGTTAGTTTATTAATGCAGTTTAACGTAACCTACAACACATAAAAAATACACCATAAGATTAAGATATGCATAATGAACTATGAATAGTTTACCCTAACACTGAGGCAACTTAACTGAAGCTCAAAAACATCTGGCTTAATGCCATCCTCCAACAAATCGAAGAAGAAGAAGAAATATCACCGAAACGACACTACGACCCACTGACCTTGTTGAACATACTTTCAATTTTCGATTTTTCTCTCTTCACTCGAAAACTTTCTACTCGGATTTCGACTTTCACTAGATTCCTCAGGTATCTCTATCCAAATATTTTACATCCTTTTATAAAAACTATTTACATAGCTCGAAAGACCGACTTTCTATAAACCTCGGCATAGATAGTTGATATATTTATTTACACGATCTTAAAAACTGATCTTCTTAAGCTGACGAGAGGTTGGCACAGGCCTTCGTTGTCGTTGTTTTTGATGTTGTTGGTCGATGGCTGACGTTTCGGCAGGTTCACCTTCCTCAGAGCCTGGATGTATTTTATATTATAATATTTTTATTAATCGGTGGAAAAAAGGTCAAAGTATTAATGAAGATCAAACTTTACATGGCTATTATGTCAATCTGGACTTAATCAGTGGATTCAGGAACGTTGAAACTAACCGAGTGTCAAATATGAGAAAACAGAACTCCCACTGGGAAAATAACTAGCAGGATCAGTACAAAATTATTCCAATCAATAGCCTGCAAATATGATAAAATGCACCAAAGAAATACTTTGTGGATCAGAGTGAGATCTGCCATCACGTGACTAGTTTGACACCAGAACGGTGGTGGATCCTGGTATAGGTCTACTCTTAGTTGGGTTCCCTAATGGAAACAGCGGGATTCTTCTCATTTTGGGAGATCCTGATGGTGTGATGAATCCCTCAGCCGTATATTGTAGGCCGTCAAGAAGCGGAAAGACAAAATTAGCGTAAAAATATTTTGTCCTAAAAATTTTCCGATGACAAAATAAGGGTGGTGATGAGAGCAAACTTACACTTAGTCACATTCACACAGCACACATAGGGTCTAAACCAAGACGAGTATTAAGGAGGTTTCATTGTTTTGTAATTCTTATCAGGACTTAGAACGCTTCATTTTTCGAAGGTTTATGTGCACTAGTTGACTATCAACTAGTTTTCTTAAAGGACCACATACGCGAAGAAACTGTTTATAACCTCGGAATCTTACCGATGTTAATGACATAGGGTTACTGTCAAGCGCCGAACTCTTCAAGATGTCTCGTCAAGGCCACTAATGGCCAAACAAGGTCAGCGTTCAACATGCTATTATTGTGGTACTGATAACGGAATGGAAAGAAGAAAATTGAATCTGAGATTCCCACAGACAGTTTTACAGTAACCATGAATTTTTATTACTTATATATAACTGTAATCTTGAACAGATGGATCGAATATAGAAATGCCTTCGCAATCACAAGGAAAGGTGTGGCTGCGCCAAAATTCCTTGATAAATAAACCACCTTCCATAAAGCAATAAATAACCCACCTGAAAGAGACTCATACAAGTCTTCCCTTAGCCCTTGACAAATGACTACGATGACGCAACACTAGGATAACTCCTCAGTAAACTCCAAAATAAACGCTTACAAAAAAATAGCCGAGTCATGTGAAATGACACCGACGAGTCACTGGTAGGACTAAAGAAATAGAGAATCACTACGTTTAGCTTCCGAACTATATATGTGCCACAAAGAAGTACCGTGGTTAAGCCACATCAGTTCACACACATTCCACAAAAATCTGAACGGAAAAAATCGAAGGCATCCGATGAATGAAGAGAACTTAAGAACACTGCTTACTTGTAGGCTTCTATAAATGTGGATGGGGTAGGTCAACTTTATAAAACTACGCTTACAAACACGTAAAATATAAAAGTAACACTTAGAAACTGTACCGTTACGAACGCCCACTATTGTAACTGCGTTATTTCCATCAGATTTCTAAAAACCAAGCTAAGAAACACTTAAACCAAACATTAAGGAGATTGTCTAAAGTAAAAGTTAAAAATAATAGCGTTTAGAAGATCCTACGGACATCCCTGAAATCGATTGGCGTCCGTTCCTAAATGGCAACTGGCATTCGCTACGGGTCAGCTTTGACTATGTCGAGCACACATGCTGCCATTCAACTAAACTATTTATGAAACACCACGAGCTTAGGAAAACACCAATTCTACTCGATTGGGGATAAGTTGTGCCTAGTTCTCTTAGTTTAAGAGTCGTATGCATGAAGTAAATCATAGTGGATCAGAGAAAAACTTGAAATTATACACCAAGACGAAATGAAGACTACAGGTTGACCTCGACGGCTATCTCATATGACTTTTCATTACAGATTTCTCTTATGCATTGATTACACGTAGAAAAAATAACGAAAATCAAGCACTTGACTAGTGATAAGATAAGGCGCCAATATCCGCTCTAAAAAGTGACTTGTGAGCTAAGAAGTTACTCCGTTACTGTCTCGTGGTGGTGGTATTGTAGCCGTTGTTTACAAGATTGGCGGATATAACTAGCGACTGGGACATTTCTATGGCACTCAATTGCATTGCACTTCGTTGCCTTCGTTTTTCCGCGCCTAATTCTCTTCAGACTAGTTCCAAATGAACGTAGTAAGTGTATTGCTCTGAAATGACTCGGCCGAAACGATTTCTGTCCACGACAAACAAACAAATAAACGACGCCTCGTTCCACTAACTATACTAACTATTACCTGTTTTTTAAAGTTTTACTTACTACCTATAATTTACTTAAGAATAAAAGTTAGACATTGTGATTTTCGGCTGCAATTTCAGCTTAACACTACTCAATGCCGCTTTGTGCGCTGAAAGCACCGGGACCTCGGTAGTGCAGTGGTTGTTACGTGAGTCTGTGGAAACGGTAGTCGTGGGTTTGAAGCTCAACTGAAGTTCCCAGTTTTTTCATCTCTCAGCGTCATTGGGGTTGCATGTTTCTGATTATTCCATTATAATGCCTTATAACTTCTCAGCAAGGGGAATTATCCACACATATTCGTGAAAGATTTCTTCTCTGAAGTACTACTATGTTGATAGTGCTACAATTTATAACTTGTTCTGAAGTGGCATTGTAAATCGTAAGTAGCACTTTCGTTACTTAGTCAAACAGAGTCAGACAGAGTAAAAATTTGCACGTCATCGGATCACCACAAATTAGCTGTATGTTCATCATCAATGGGGAGTGCTCTCATTAAAATAATAAATTTCTCTGTTTATTAAATAGATATACCATTTCATAAGGGCCGAAGTTTAGCAGTTGTGACTACTTTAAAACGGCTCGCTTGCTTTACCTTAACAGGTCCGAAATTTTGGGTGGTGACCACTTAAGCTTACGCCTAATTTTCTGCGGCACGCGGTGTGCGTTTAAAAATTGGTCCCGAAAAGAAAAAGAATTTTATACATTACCAACTGTAGAGGATAGCTTTTCAAGGACAATGTCTAACGCAATATCTGTGTTTGCTAAGCTATCGAATGAATACAAAGAACGTAGCAAATAAATTTTTATAAGCTATTAAACAATTTGAAAGAAAAAACGAAAAAAAATGGTATAATCATAA